TTTGCATCAATCCTATTTCTTAATTTCAATTGTTTTAATAAAACTGAGTTTTTTAAAAATAAAGGAAAAATATGTTTATAAATTATATTTGTCGATTAGAAAATTCAATTCAAAATGAAACTGAAAATTTTTTAATTTTTAGAAAATAAAGGAAAAAAGTTGATTGAAAAAAATGTTGTGTTAAATTTATTTACGAATATCTTCAATTCTAAAATTATTCGAAAACAATAATTTCTTTTTTAAATATACTCAATATTTAATTATTATTATTTTACGATAGGAATTAATATTGTCGAAAATTAAAAATTCAAACCTTTTTGAAATTAATCAACTTCAATAATATTTTTATAAAACATAAAGATATTGATTGCTCCGAGTCGAAGACTCAGAGTGATAGATTTCTTCATGTTTTATAATACTAAATAATTAAAGAGGATCGAGTGTTAAAATCATTATTTTATATTATAAAAATATTGTTACTGTAACTTCTTCAAAATTATTTTCATATTCTATTATTATCTAAAATTTAAACTAAAATTCATTTTCAAATCAATTTTTATTAGAAAATTCTAAGAGAAAAACTTAAATACAAAAGTAAATTATTTATTGAATAATTAAATGTTTCTTAAAATATAATTCATATAAAGAATGTTATTAACAAATTTTTAAATAATTGAATTCTTTTGACGAATTTTAAGAAAATTTTTTAGATTAGTGACATTTTTCAAGGAAATCGATTAAAATTGTATTAAAAATAATTATTGAAATTTTGCGATGATTTTATTATTTCTGAAAATAATTGAATTACTAAGAAGAAACTTATATAAAATTAGTAAATTATTTAAAATTCTGTGAAATATTTATGATTTATGAAAATAACTAAATGTTTTCGTACAATTTTATTAATATTATTTTTAAATAATTAAATTCTTTTCGGTCATTTTATTAAAATAGTAGATATTGATAATCATTGAAATGAGGAACATTTTTGAAAAAAATTGAAATTTTCACAAGAATTTTATTAAAATTTTTGAAAATAATTGAATTTTGAAAACAATTTTTTCCATTTAAGTAAAGATAATAATTGGGATTTTGTCGGGTTTTTTTTTAAATTTTAAACATAATTGAATTTTGTGATAAGAATTTTATTACTTTTGAAAATAATTGAATTTCTGCAATTATTCGTAACTTCTTCAAATGTCAATTTTTTTAGTGTTTTTAACTAAAATTCTTCTATAAATTCATTATTTTTTAAAATTAGTTAAATAGATATTGACAAATTTAAATAATTTTAGAAGATTTTTAATTATTAAAAATTTTCGAAAATCGAAGTTAATTAAAATTTCTAATTAAATTCATTCAAACTTGAAATTTTATAAAATTTTAAATAGAAGCCGTTTGAAATTGATTTATTTATAAAAATTGTAAACGCAACTCTTTTAAAATTGAATTACTTTTAAAATATTTAAGTAAAATTATTCATTAAATAATTTATTTATTTTACGATAGTTGTTCAAGATTTAAGTTTTTTAAAAACAAATTTTTGTCAGAAAGATTTTTGTAAACATTTTTAACAATAATTGTACTCTTAGGAAGAATGTTATATTTTATGAAAATAATTGTATTCTATATAAATAATCAATTTTATTATCATTTTTTAAATTTATGAAGCATTTTATCAAAATTTTTTTAAATAAATGAATTCTCGAGAAAAATTTTATTATTTATGAGAATTATTGTTCTTTTGCGAAGAATTATATTCAAATTTTTTTAAATAATTGAATTCCCATAAAAAAGTGTATTATTTGTGAAAATAATTGAATTCTTAAGAAGAATTGTATTGGAAAAAATTGAATTGTATAGGAAAATTTTATTAAAATTGCAATTTTATTAACTAAATCTTGTAAAGAATTTTGTCAAAATTTTTTTTAATAATAAAATATTTAAAAGAATTTTATTTAAATTTATTGAAATAATTGCATTACTCACAACTATGTTTTTCAATTCTCTGAATATATTTGAATTCTTTCGAGAAATTTAATTAAAAAATTAAAAATAATTGAATTGATAAGAAGAAATTTATAAAAAAAATTGGTAAATAATTGAATTCCTGTGAAATTTTTATTAAAATTTTGTTTAATTAATTGAATTCTTTTGAAAAATTTTATTAAAATAGTAAGATAGTAAAAATAATTAAAGAGAGGAAATTTTTTTTAAATAATTGAAATTTTGGCAAGAATTTTATTAAATTTTATGAAAATATAATTGAATTTCGGAGAAAAATTTTATTATTCATAAAGATAATTGAAATTTTGACGAGAATTTAAAAAAATTTTTTAACATAATTGAATTTCTTCGAAGATCGATTATTCTTAAAATTTCTATTTAAATTCATTTAAAAATTGTTATTTTTAAAAATTTCAAATCGAAACCTTTGAAGATTGAAGTTCATCTATTTATGAAGATTGTAAACTCAACTCCTTTGATATACAATTAATTTTGAAATTTTTAAGTAAAATTATTCATTAAATAATTTATAAGTAAAATTTTATGATAGTTCTTGAAGAATTAAGTTATTTAAAACGAAATTTTTATGAGAAATTGAAAAAATTGAAGTTTTTGTATTAGAATTTGTGGTAATTTTATAGAATTTGTGTAAAAGACACAAAAATTCAGAATTTTGTTATGAATTCTAAAAATTTAATTTCTTTAGGTACCTACTTTTAATAAAAATTCCTGATATTTCCCTGAATTCCCTATGTCAGAATATATGATTATTATAATTATAATAATATCAAAACTATTTATTCCAATTCATATTTTATTTTTATAAAATAAATTACTAAGTATAATATACTTTATAATAAAATATTAGAATAAATTATTGTAGATAATTTCAAGTAATGAAATTTACAAAGTTTACAAAGTAAATAAAAAAGGACGTCTAATAAGATAGTTTCTACTTTAAAGTAGAAAGACAAGTTTAATATGATAAATTTAATCTTAAAAATAAAAAAAATATCAGGTACGTGTTTTTTTTCCTTTTTTATTAACTAACAAAGTGACGTCAAGTAAGGCAAAAGATCAAATTTTAAATTGAAAAAGGCGTCATAACGAATTAAATTTACTTTCAATGTGAAAAAGGAGTCTAGACGATACAATCTTACACGTCAAATAGAAAAAGAACGTCAAGTAAAGCCAAGAAATAAAATTCAATTTTGAGTGAAGAAGTTTATATTCAAACGCAAATTTTATTTTTTTTCATAAACATAAATAAAACTCAACATAAATAAAAAAACAAACGAAAAAATCGAAATCTTGAAATGTAAATAGAAAACATTTTTTAACGCCAATTAATAATGATGAATGTAAAAATAAATTTAAGATAGAAAAAAAATTAAAACAAAAAATTTATACTTTAATTTTCACAAGTGCAAAGAAAGGCTATCAGGACCCACTCTGATTGAAAGAGTAAATTTTGTCTTGTTCCTTCGAACTCATCCAATTTGGAGCCTAATTAAATTTTTTCATTGGGTAGAAAGTAAGATTATCCAAATAAAATAGAAAAAACACAAAATTCTCGCAACTTTTTTCAACTTTGCAAACAAACATTCTGTGTTTTTCTGCAAGCTTAGAAAAACAATATGATGATTACATAAGTTTTGCATATTTTGTCATATATACACATATATATATATGTTTGATGATTCAGTGTACATTTTAAATGAGACGATAACGAGTAGACAATAAATTAAAAGTGAGTGTTTGCAGCTCAGCATTTCGTATACGTACGTGAAAGTACAAGCGATAAACTCGCCGTAAAATTTTAATAAATTTATTAATATTAAAAAAAAAATAAATATAAAAACACTGGGCAACCTTAAACAAAAGAACATAATTTTTTTGGCAAAATGATTTTGCACGCAACTAAACGTCCCCGACAATAATTTGTCACGCGAATTTCATAAAGGTTAGACTTTAATTTTTAAAGGTTAAATTTAATAAGACGAATATATTGTTAAACTTGAAATCGAGGACGAGATCTCTCCCCGGGTAAATAATGACTGTAATCATAAAATCGATTTTTAAATACCTCTTGTTATTCTCACACAATATTTTCCAAAAGATATTAAATATTATTTACATGTGTATGTTCCTGAAGTATTTTGTTCAAATTTTAGATTACAAAAAGTTATAAAATATTTTTTTTACTCTTGTTGTGGTTGTTAGTTATTTTCTGTAACCTTTGATGGTAAATACTGATTATAAATATTGATTGTAAATAGTGAAAGTGCAAATAAAGTTTATTTTTCCTTATATATATTTTTATGTAAGAGATGAGTCACAATTTTCTTATTATAACTTGAATAGTTTACTCATTTATAAATAGTTTATTTATTTTATTACAAATTTCTTTTCGGCCTTTTCTCGAATTTTTTGACACACGCATGGCACAAAAACATACCAAAAAATTACAATTTTTCTGTAAAAAAAATGTCAGGAAATTAACAAATAAATACGAAAACTTATAATATTCTACTAAATAATATATGATTGAAGATTTTTAAAAATTATGCAATGATTTTAGCAGTCGGCAAATTTGAAAAAAAATTAAACACTGAAAATTGTTTTGACAATTTTTTAAACTTTGGTATATTTTTTAAAAATTGCAGACAAAATTTAAAACTTATATCAGGCGTCAACCTTCAAGTCTCAGCTTTAATTTAAGACCAAAAAAGTTAAAAAATCTTATTCGGTTCGCGAGATATCATTATAAATGTCAGAGCATGTTTTTGGACAAATTCATTGAATTAGTCAATTTTGCACTTTTTTGGTCTTAAATTAAAGATGAGACTTGAAGGATGACACTTATATAAGTTTTAAATTTTGTCTCAAATTTTTTAAAAATATGCCAGAGTTTAAAAAATTGGCAACAAGGTTCAAAAAATTTTGAAAACAAAAAATTATAAATATATAAATTATAAAAAGTCTGCCCCTACCTAATCGTCATTTTTCTTCGAACTGAGCACGAAAATGCAGGTTCCAAATGTCGTGAATCCATGAGGACGGATAAAGCCGTGAATAATTTAGACTTAAATTATCTGCAACAAGCAAAAAATATTGTGATAAATATTATAACATAGAATTTCGAGAAAAATATATTTATAGCAAATTTTTCGAACAGCATATAGGTATACAGCATAGGTACAGAAAATATAAAACTACACAAGAAAATATATGTCAATTTTTTATTTTTGCAATTAAAAAAAAATTTTATAAAAAAATCATTATATTTATGCAATATTTTATTTCTCCGTATTTTTTTTAACAGATGAATAGAACATTGAAATTCTTCGAAATATTTCTCCTCTCGTAGAAAAAAAAAGATAATGTGCTCATTGAAATCACGTGACCTGTAAATATTATATGAGAATTTTTTTTCTCTCATTTTCACCAAGTGAATTATAAAAGACGATAACCGCACAAAGAGTGCTTTCTGTTTTTTGGAATGTAAATATTTTACCGGCAACACAAAGCCAATTAATTTTTAACCCAATTAAGTGAAGTAATTGAAACTAAATAATTAATTGAAATTTTTTTTAATTATCAGATACAATCAATCGAAAGTGATACAATGTCAAATCAATTAAAACACTTCAGTTAAAATTAATTGCTAACTGTGTTTATTTATAATTAAAATCACTTCACTAATATCAGGTCAGGTTGACTGATTGTTAAACCAACTGCGCATGACGTAATATTAGTCTTTCATTTTGGATAATTTTCTATTACATTAGACGCATGGTCAAATTTGGACTTTTATCTTGTATGGGATAGTAAAGACGTAACAATAACTTGCAAGAAACTAGACAATTTTTTTATATCTAGAAAAAATATTTTGTTATATTAATTATAACTAGAAACAACTCACTCAATTTTTTAAATAAAATTAGCAATTTCAAAAATAAGAGAAAGTAAAAATTTTTAATTCAAATTTTTTTTTATAAAAATAAAATATGAATTGAAATAGGTATATATCTAGTTTTAATATTATTATAATTATAATAATCATATATTCTTATATAGGGAATTCAGGGAAATATCAAGAATTTTTATTACAAGTACTGAAAAAATTAAATTTTTAAAATTCATAAGAAAATTCTGAATTTTTGTGTCTTTTTTGTTTCACTCATCAACTACAAAACTACCACAAATTCTAATACAAAAACTTCAATTTTTTTCAATTACTTATAAATTATTTAATGAATAATTTTACTTAAAAATTTCAAAATCAATTGGATTTCAAAAGATTTGCGTTTACAATCTTCATAAATAGATGAACTTCAAGGGCTTCAATTTTAAATTTTTAAAAATATCAATTTTTAAATGAATTTAAATAGAAATTTTAAGAATAACTGATTATAGAAATTCAATTATTTTCAAATGTGATAAAGTTCTTCGCAGAAATTCAATTATGTTAAAAAATTGTTTTCAAATTATCGTCAAAATTTCAATTATCTTTATAAATAATAAACTTTTTTTCCGAAATTCAATTATATTTTCAAAAAATGTAATAAAATTCTGCGCATTTAAATTATTTTCAAAAATTTTCCTGATTTCAATTATTTTTAATATCTACTATTTTAATAAAATTTTCCAAAAGAATTCAATTATTTAAACAAAATTTGAATAGAAATTTCACAGGAATTCAATTACTTACCCATTTTTTTATAAATTTCTTCGCATCAATTCAATTATTTTTAATTTTTTAATTAAATTTCTCGAAAGAATTCAAATATATTCAGAGAATTGAAAAAAATAGTTGTGACTAATCCAATTATTTTAAAAAATTTAAATAAAATTCTTTTAAATATTTTATTATTTAAAAAAATTTTAACCATATTCTTTACAAGATTTAGTTAATAAAATTGCAATTTTAATAAAATTTTCCTATACAATTCAATTTTTTTCAATACAATTTTTCTTAAGAATTCAATTATTTCTACAAATAATACATTTTTTATAGGAATTCAATTATTTAAGAAAATTTGAATAAAATTCTTAGTAAAAGAACATTTATTTTCATAAATAATAAAATTTTTTTCGAAAATTCATTTATTTAAAAAAATTTTGATAAAATGCTTCATAAATTTGAAAAGTGATAATAAAATTGATCATAGAATACAATTATTTTCATAAAATACTAGCGTCATATTCCTCGCTCGCTCGGAAGACATTTTACTTATTTCCACTTACATAAATAGTTCTTGAGGTAAAAATTTTGTTTAAAAAATTTTTAACGTCAAAAACTCTCCTGATTAAGCTAATTTTGTTTAAAAAAATCTTTAACTTCAAAAACGATCCTTATACCTCATACAGTATGAATGCAGGCTAATTGTTTATAACATTTTTACACCAATAGGTCTTTTTTTAAAAATTATGTAATATATGTTTCGTAGTGGTTTTTAGCGTAGAATCAAATAGCGCTATAAGTTTCTTATAAAAATCGATTTTTCTTCATTTGTTTATAAAAAAAAATTGTTAAAAAAATATTTTTTTAACATTCAACGCCAAAAATTATCATTAGATCCCATGCCAGGATTCCAATAGTTACTTTTATTATATCTGCATTCCTTTGCCTATAGGCATCAATGGGTTAATGTAAAAAATCTTTTCCCTAATGCATTTTTTCAGTTACTAAAAAATAAATTTGACACAATAACGTTCGACTTTTGTTCCACTAAAGACCATAAAAATAAAAAATTAGAAATATAAGCCTGGATAAAGTGTGGAGGAAAAGATTTTTTACAATAAAAAAGGAAAATAATGTTTATAAAAAAGTTAAAAATATATAGTTAAACTGTTTATAATAATAATATATACGTATATAATTAATAAATGTATTAGAGGCGAGCAGTAAAGGTCATATCATCTTTTAAAATACACTGATATAGGCGCTACTTGGAAAAAAATTAATCTCTAAATTAGAGATTAAATCTGAGATTTAGGCATAAACTATCACTGGAATCGGACGTAAGATGTAAGCAGATCACTAAAACTGAAATTTGGTATTATATCTAATCCGAATATTAGTATTGTGAAGAGCACGTATTTCTTATGCCTAAAAATGATATTAGGAATCTCAAATTTTATGACATATGGAACATATGTTCTAAACTATCAACTTACTTGAATAAATTCAAATCTAATATATTATTTGAATAAACAATATTAAAAATTTTAGTCGTATATTTATATAATTCTTATTTTTGTAATAACTCGATGTAATAAGAATTTATAATTTATCACAATTTAGAGTGATAATTATTCACAAAATATTTATATTGTTTTCCCTGTATGAACTATACATTGACAAGTATAAAAAAGTAGTTGGATATTTTTAAAACACAATACGAATTTTATATTTTTATTTCATTTTTTTGTTTTAACGGCGTTGGAAGGTCTGTAAAATTTGTAGGTTACAATTATCGCCCGACAAAATACGACACTGACTGATTTAAATGACGTGAAATAGGTAAATAAACATTTTTCAACCACTTTTTCTCTAAACACAGACACTTTTTACAAAATAGGCCAACATACAACGAGTAGGAATCTTCTTAATTACCTAAATTCAAAAGATGGTTTAAATTCATGCAGAAACGCGGTTGTAAAATGTAAAATTGGAAAGTGATGTAATGCTAAGAATATAACAGCTGGACCATTGTGCTCTCTGCATGCTTCTGCCCTCTTCTGGCGACTGGCAGTAATCCGCTTCTTGTTGTCTGTCATTACATTACTTTCCAATCATTTCCAATTTTACATTTTACAACCGCTTGACAACCGCGTTTCTGCATGAATTTAAACCATCTTTTGAATTTAGGTAATTAAGAAGATTCCTACTCGTTGTATGTTGGCCTATTTTGTAAAAAGTGTCTGTGTTTAGAGAAAAAGTGGTTGAAAAATGTTTATTTACCTATTTCACGTCATTTAAATCAGTCAGTGTCGTATTTTGTCGGGCGATAATTGTAACCTACAAATTTTACAGACCTTCCTTCACAGACCTTCGCTTTTATTTGGATATTTGAAAATAAAATTAATACTTAATTAATTAAAATGGTTTAAATCTTTTTTGTCACTGATTAACTTAAAACACAATGTACCTAATTCATATAAAAAAAGTTGTGAAATTAACAAATCCCATTCATTCTGTAGAAAATAACCTTTAAAGTAAGCTTAAGATCATTAAAAGTGTTCATGTTTTTAGAAGTTATTTAAATTTTTGTAAAACATTGACAATAATGATTTTTTAAAAATATCTTACACAGAAATAGAATTGTTAAATGTCAATACTCAATAATCTAATTCTTTTCACTTAAAGTACAATTCAACACTTCTTATTTTTGAAATTTCATATTTTAGACATTTTGGGCTTTTGGAATTTTTATTGTAGAAAAATATTTTTTAGATTGTGTATGGATTAAAAAATTCAATTTTAAAGTTCTGAATGTTCTTCGCATGCTTTATAGTGATAGAACACTACTGCGCATGCGTTATAGTAATAGAACACTACTGCGCATGCCTGACATTGACAGAACACTACTGCGCATGCTTGACATTGACAGAACACTACTGCGCATGCTTGATACTAATAGAATACTACTGTGCATGCTTGATACTGATAGAACACTACTGCGTATGCGTTATAGTGATAGAACACTACTGCGCATGCGTAACATTGACAGAACACTACTGCGCATGCGTAATATTGACAGAACACTACTGCGCATGCGTAATATTGACAGAACACTACTGCGCATGCGTGATACTGACAGAACACTACTGCGCATGTCTGATATTTATAGAACACTACTGCGCATGCCTGCTATTCATAGAACACTACTGCGCATGTCTGATATTTATAGAACACTACTGCGCATGCGTATATGTATGTACAATGAGTATATGTATATACGATACTATGAATAAATGATAAATGATGAAAGTCGAACGACCGAACGATGAAGTACGGAAGTACACGAACGACGGACGACAAAACGACGACGAATCATATGTTAATATTATAGGAGATAAAACATTC